CATAACAAAATAACTATCTAAATAGAACCGCGCACACGCCAACTCCGTGTTTTTAAATTTCTTAAAAATAAAGAGTATAATACTAATAAAGAATTTCCTACGCTTAGTATTACGATATAATCCTAAGTAGGCTTAGAGAGAGCTTAATAACCTATCGCGACCAGGCGCAGTAGCAACTCTATCTCTAGAGGGATATGCTCACTGGCTCGCGCAGCTCGGCCAAACAACAAAGCACGCAGGCATGTACGCTACGCTCGCAGGGCGCACTCCTAATACGAACTACAAGTGCCTATGTAGAGCAAATGGCCAGCATCGATAGAAGCCTACAAAATGTAACCGCCTATAGTATGCGCTCCAGGGAGAAGCATCTTATAAGCTCTATAATAAACTTATAAGTAAAAAGATTAGTAAAATTAAGAGCTAAATTTAAAAAGATTAGTAAAAAGTATTATCAGCTAAGCTTAAACTAAAGGGGTAGGTAGAAAGCTTTTTAGAATTTTTAAGAAATATTAAAGTATAAATTATAATAAGCCTATAGGTAAATAAGCCTTTGCTAGCTAGGCACTATAATTCTATAACTACTTATTTTTATTTATTTATATACGCAGGTACTTGCGTAAGTCACGTTATAAGTAAATAATTATCTTTAAATATTTATTAAAGCTTTATAATAGAAGTATACTACTTATTATTTCTTTACTTTTTTTATTATTAAACTTTATGTAAACTAGCTACTTAGACTACTTACTTAGTAAGCTAGGGATCTAAGCCAGATGCCTTTTAAGCTTTATACGTAATTTTACTATTTTTTATACTTTAAATTACTATTTAGCTCTTTTTGCTATGCTCTAAGAGCTAAGGGGTATATTATAAAAGCTTACTTACTTCTTACTAGAGCTTATTACGCTAAGTAGCTAAGTAACTAAATATATAATCCCTCTAAACTTATAAATAGCTAGGCGTCTTAGTAGAACTTTCTCTCCTTAATAGACTTTGTTTACAAGCTCCTTAATCGAAGTTAACTATGCGTAATAATACTAATACTAACTAAAACCTCTTTACGCTGTCTATGTGTATTTTTTTTTAAAGCATTATAGCGGAATCTCGCTAACTAGCAACTCCCGCAGACGACATGGCCCGCGGGATAGGCTCTCGATATACAGATTGGAGTGCCTTGCAGGGCCTTCAGGGACGTCGAGATCGGTAATTTAGAAAGAAGGGTTTTACCGTGGTGGTGAACCGCTTGGAAACACTAGGGAAGGCCTGCAATACTTGGCGCCCGGCGGAGAATACATTAGATGTTCGGTCTTGCCTCTGGCGGGATGTAAATAGTAGAACGCCATGTGATACGCCGCGTAGTAGCGCGAACTACTCCATATACCGTGCCTTGGCCGCTAATGCATGTTAGGATCCCAACGTCCGAAATACGCTGGTAAAATAGGTTAGGTTGCAAGGGCCACATCTGGGTCTAACTAAGCAGAACACCAAAATTCTAAACTTTAACTCTCTATAAATTTTTAAATATAAGGGCTATACTTTTGCAAATTTAGTACAAGGTGTACCGTAGCTTGGCAGTTGGCGCGCCGCGTCACTGAACGCGCCACCCTAACATAATCGCTCGGCCAGCAACATGAGGCTACTAAGCCACCTATAATTAATATTATTATAAGAATTTTTAGAGTTAAGGTCTTTAAGGCCTATAGATAATTACTAGCTATTTAAATTATTAATATTTACTTAGTATTTAAATTATTTACCTCCTGCACGACTTTAAGGTAGATGTAATAAATAAGTCCTTATTAATATTTATTGCCTTACGCTAATACTATTTTTTAATAGCTTTATTAAAAGGCTTTAAAATATTCCTACTACATAATTTAAATATTTTATATTACATTTTTAGAGTTAACTTTATATCTTATAGGCCTATTACTTAAGGCGTTACTTAGTAGCTTGATTAGTCTTTTACTTTGCGCGTGTATTTTTAGTAGTTACTTAAATAATACACCTTTTCTAGAGTAACCTTATTTTCAGCTACTAGTTAGCTTAATAGGCTTTTACTTACTTACTTTTTTAAAGCTATAATTACTACTTTTTAGTATCTTTTTAGTGTTAACGATTACGGACCCGCTATATACTATAAGGTAACTAAAAAATAGGTCTACTATAATACTTATCTAGCTAATTAAGAAGCAAAAGTTTATTTTATTTTAAGCATTTTTTCTATATTGCTAGAGCCTTCTATAGGCCTTTATTTTTATACTTTAAGAGTTACTTTTATATAAAAATTAAGTATATAGTTTAACTTAGCTTTTTAGCTTTATTATTACCCCCTGTATTAATGATAGCCTTTAGTAGCTAGTTAATCTTACTCTAATCTAAATCACCAAGTATTAAAGTTAAGCTTTTTTATAGTTATTAATTAAAAGGTATAGTTTAATTAAATTACTTAAGGATAGTGATTAGATTTAGTAAGGAAATATTTATAGGTTTAAAGACCTAAAGGATTAATAGCTATCTTATAGTACTAACTTAGGCCTTTTAAAATAGGCTAAAGAAGTCTCTTTTAATAATATAGGCTAGCCCCTAGCTATTCTATAGAAAGGCTAATAGCTTATTTAAATACGCTACTAATAGAGGCTTAAATATGCAGATATTAAGAGGCTATAACGTATAGGTTAAATAAGGTAGATAGATAGCTAATAGGACCCTATTATAATTATAATAGTTAATAAAATCTATAGCTATTAAGGATTAATAGTTAATATAATTATCTAGCTTTTAACTTTATAAAGTAATTAAACACTTGTTAAAGCTATGTAAGGCCTATCTAATTACTTAACTAGTTAAATTTAGATATAGTAATAAAGGCTAAATAGTGTTAAGGGTTAAGATCCTCAACCTAGCTTAATTATATATTTATAGAGTTGGTCCGTGAGCGGCAGATGTTGGCGGTGCATGGGATGACGAAATGTGATCCTAGTAACTTAGAAGTAATAGTATACAATTATCTAGTACGTTTTGCGGTATTTCCCACCAAGTTTTATATATAGCCTTAATAAAAGGTCCATACTTTTTATTATTATTACTAAAACCTAAAAATAGCTATTGTACAGAGCTCTGCAGCCTCAAGTTTGGCCGAGCTGTTCTGGAACTTTTGGTGTTGAGCGCGCATTGACCTCGCACACACGGTAACTGCCAAGGCACGGTAGCTTATTTCTAGCTATTTCGACTCTGCCAGAGCCGGTGAACTCTAGGCAGCACCATTTCGTTCGAACAGACAACGAACAATATAGAGCCTAAAGATCCTTGTCTAGAAGGCCTTGCATTTACTCTCTGCGTAGTCCTTAACTTCTTCTCGCGTATCAATGGCATATCCGCACTATAAGACTGTGGAGCTCAGGCGTAATCACATTCCCGTGGGGCTCTTCACACTAGGGTATACGTCACATCCTCTCGAATACGACCCCAACGCCTACATTCCCATAACGGGCTGTTGCAACGGATCACGCGTTCACTTGTACGTCACCTACGACGACTTCGAGAGCTTCTTGGTCAACGGACGCACGCTTGCGTGGCTAGCCGACCAACTCCCGCCATACTGCGGCTGGTGGCTACCTTCCGAGCCTAGAAACTACAGATCCAACAAGCGCGTCGCGATACGCGATTTCTTTAATATACCGCCCGAGGACCCTTCGCGTTGGGCTCTTCTCCCTGGTACACACTCCGAGGGCACAAACATGGTCGTGCCGGCGTGGAAGAAGAGCCACCTGCTATCTCTGCCTAAAGAGCTACGGCTGGAGATATGGAAATGGACGCTGACAGATCCGTCTGTGCCTGAGCTCGTTGTGAACATTGGAAGGGAGAAGAAGGAAGCGTACCAGCACTCAGCGACGGGACCCGTCGTTCCACGCGTGATAACTTGGCTGGAGCCAAGGCAGAAATGTGGCCTTGGTCTGGGTCTACTGCAGACGAACCGCTTCATCTACGAAGAAGCTCTCCCTCTGCTTTATCGATCGGTTCGATTCGCGCTAGTTGACCATTTGGGCATCTTCCCGTTGTTTTTAGGCTCTTTGTCAACGCACGCGCGGTCGTTAATTCGCCATATCAAGCTTCAAGTCCCCAGGCAGATCTACGATATCGATATCTTCGGCGATCCGGCCATGCCGTTATTCCACTGGGCGGTGACGTGCGCGCAGGTCGCAACGCTCAGCGGACAGCTCAGAGATGTCGAGGTAGAAGGCTTATTTATGGATTCCGGTTTTTCGAATGCGAGTATCCGACGCTCCATTCTTTTTCCTTTGTGTAAGATCAAGACACGCAAACTATTCGGAAAAATCAACAATAAAGAGGCAGATTCATTGTTGGCCAGCGCCGAGCAGGAGCTGGAAGTGAAAGTTGCATTACGCAAGGAGCGAGCTGAGGCGGAGGCTGTCGCTGACGGAAGCAACGAGCCTGAAAGTGCAGAAAGTGCGAGTGAAGATGGGGACAACCTGACCATCATGCCCAGCGTCGAAGTTTTCAAGCGAGGGCTGACCCCGCACATGTCGCAATTACACATCGGAGAAGGCAGCTCTGTTGACGATATCGACACCTTGCTAGAAGACTGGGACGTGATCAGCTATAAGAGTGGCGCTTCGACACCCAGATGTTGACCGCCGAGTTACATGTCCAGACGCAGTAGTGATTCGTGGTCGGACGCAGCGTCGACAATTGCTGAGGCGCAGGAGCTGTCCCGGGATGAGGTGTTGGAATAGTTAAATACCGTGCACCAAGTCAAATCTTCAGAAGTTCTTGTGACGTACAATTTGAAGTGTGTGAGGGCTTCTATTCCCTGAGTATCTAGGAATACATCACGTCGTGCCTACGCAAAAGTACAAGACATGCCCTGACCGCACTTCTAGCGGCGAGAATGTCTTGAAGAAGCATCAATGTGAATTCGTCCCCGTGCAAGTGTCCATTCGGATCAAGGAGAAGCAAAAAGAAAAGCTTTCGCTGAATTCCGATACCGGGAATCGAACCCGGGCCTTGCCGGTGCCTTCCAGAGCGAGCCCTATGAAAGCGGCATATCCTAGCCGTTAGACCATATCGGATTACAAGTTTGGAGGCTTAATCAATATATATAGTAAAAAAGCAAGATCCCTCTGCGAGAACTGCGAGATTGGAGCCACCAGTGACTCAAGATGTGTTGGAGAAGTCGATAGCGGGGCAAATGCGGGGTAGAGAGCCGACCATTGGCCCAAATTGTTGAGCTGCTCAAAGCGTGACAACGCGTCAAGCAAAGCGCGTCTCGCCAAACTCATTCGCGCGTGCACGTCGACGACCACCATGGCGCCCGGCAGCAGCACCACCGACTTCAGCAGAGCGATCGAGGCTATGAATGTGGACTGTCCACGGCAGCCGGTTCCTCGACCTATGAAGGAGTTGAGTTACGAAGTGACCAACCACGTCAACGCGTACCTGGACCACCACCGCTGTAGGTAGTCGATACTGCGACCTGCCGTGATACTAACACCCGCCAGATGAACAAGCCTTTGTTTTCCTACAATCGCTCCTCGCCGCTGGCACCTCTATATCGGTGCCTTCGAAACCCCATGCCGGGCTGTTAGCGCCAGTTGCGCAGCTTGCTCTCGCTTCCACACTTGTCGTTTACCCGCCTATCACCACCAAAGCGACCTCCGCGGATGCCCTCAAAGGCTCCGATGCAGCCGTACGATATTTGCGATGCGTACACGATACAGTTGACCTGCCCGTTTACAAGACAATAAGGGCGGCCTTCACCTTCTCTGACACGCGATGGCGAGGTCCCGCTCTTCTTGGCCAGCCCTCCAGCCCATCATCTGCCTTTACGCATCGTGCCGAGCAGCTGCATGTTGTTGCCGCAAATTCGAAGAGCCTCTGGTCCTGCGCAGAGGACTTCTGGCACGTTGTTGGGTGGGCCTTCAATTGTTCCGTCATACACAAGAAGCGATGGGCCAGATGGAAGCTGTGGCTGGAGCTCATGCTGGATTTCCTTGAAGCCGATTGGGACAGTTGCATCAAGAAGAATAACCCACTTCCGGAAAGGGTCGCCAAGTTGCAGGAGAGCCTCATCTGGCGGTACATCACCAGCCGAGAACCCCTCGCAGGGAACACGAGAAAGAGGATGTTTGCAGCGATACTGGCGACTGGTGATTCACGATCGTGCAAAGATTTCCCAGAGGTGTGGCTCGAAGAAACGGCGGAAGCGAAACAGCGGGATACTCACAGGAAAGACACTGGTCCCATTGACATCGACGCAGGAGACATGGACGATTATGGGGGTGATGAAGAGGACGTGGAGATGCAAGATGCACCTCAGCCAGCTGTTAAGCGAGAAACATCAAGGAGGACAAATACCTCGCAGACCTCGGAATATTTCCTGCCGCCGCTGGAAGACACCTTCATACCCGACTACGAGGCTGCAGTAGCAAGATTGGGTGGCATCGACGCTGTGGATCTACGCCAACGTTTCATAGCTTTGGTACGTTCTCAACCACTATGATGATTGCTATCTAACTGTTTGTAGCTCGCGAAAGTCACAAAGGAATTGCGCCAACAATTCACCTCTCTCTCGGGCCTCTGTGACACACTTGCGTCGCAGTTGAGGTATTTCCCGGTTCATGTTTTGCATGTTCTGGTAACCACCTCGCGACTGCTTCCCGCCGAACAAGTAGCTCTCAACGTTACTATTCTGACCGCTGCTTTGACGTTCGACCATTTCATCGACTGTACCGCTAGGTCGCCTACGCAAACAGAGTTCATAGAGTACTTGCTTCCGCTTCGCGCGTCGGAAGATAGGTTCACGGCGAACGCAAAAGTTTCACTATTATTAGAGCAAGTGTTCATGTACATGATGAACAACAAGCGGAAGGGTAAAAAAGAGCTTAAATTCACCAACCCTCTGCGGGTAGCTGTTGAAACTGGCATCGAGCACAGAAATAGCGTCAAAGGCAGGAAAGACAGCCCTGAAGAGAAGGAGCAGGGCAAGGCCTTGTTGGATACCAGCTCGCAGCGGTTGAGCGGCCTGTTGTACTTGTTGAAGATCATCAAGGCCAAGGTGCCAGAAAGGGAAAGTCCACGGAAAAAGAGGTGATACCAACGAACGACCGGTGGAGAGCTCGGTGTAGAGAAACGCTCGCGAGTGCAACTAGGAGGTGTGGCAAGAGCGGTCATCGCGCGCACCCGGCTCTCCGCTTTCATCTGTACCCGAATATGAGAAAGACGATAATTGGGGATGGTCGCAGACGCCCGGGCGATCCCGGTGAACCCCAAAGGACAAACAGAGGTGCGGCAGGCACTTTTTGTTAAAATTTCGCAAATCATTTGTGTGCTGGAAGATAAACCGACCCTGCCGCAGGCACCGTGTCAAAAGCAGCAGTCCGGTGCCCCACGCATCCCAGAACTGCCAAGGTCATCATTGTGCAAACCGCACAGTACTGTGACGAGATCTCATTGAGGGAGACCAGTATGGCAAAATATTGGGGCGACGATGCGCCCTTCTGTTTCCGCAAAAAAATAGCCCAGCTAGTACCCGCCGCGGCCGCGGGCCGCTACCAGTGTGCACTACAATCGACAATTGTCATTGACGCGCACTGTCCAATATGTTTCCCTCACGCGCCAACTGAACTTTTACATCCACAAACATTGTTCTGCACGCTCTATTTGCTAGTGTTTGAGTAGCCACTACGCCATCCCAACACGCGTTACTTCCCAACCCGATTTTCTCTGCCGTGACTCACCGCTCGTCCAGCGATTTGCACTTACGATCAATCTCCCAAGCGTTCTACTCGTATATCACGATGCCTCCCAAGAAGATCTCTATTGTTCGGTGAGCAAAAACGATAATAATTCTTTATTTGTACTGACATAGCTCATCATTCAGCCACGGTCAAGGCTACCACAACGTCACAGTACGTAAACTCTGGCGTCTTCTTTATGTCGCGGCTCCAGATTTTCTGACAACACCAGCACAACTATTACCTCCGGGACCCACTCCTCACACCCCTGGGGCACGAGCAATGCACACAACTGTCTGCCACCTACCCCCACCACAACAGCATTGACCTCGTCATAGCTTCACCAATACGGCGCACCGTAAGTCGCGCCAGTCTCATCTAGCTATGGAGGGATTAATTGACCGTAACATCTAGATCCAAACTGCATCATTCAGCTTCGGGCCCGCCCTCGTGCGTCGCGAGGTACCGTTCCTCTTGGATCCAAAACTACAAGAGCTGGGTAGCCATGATGCGGACCGCGGCCTCGACGTGCACGACCTAAAGGCGTGGCTTGCGGAGACGGAGAAGGAGGGCGCAGGCAAAGTTCCTTTTCACTGGAACAAGATTGATACCAGTGCTGTGGAAGAAGGTTGGAATAGCAAGGTAAGTCACGTGCGAGAAGCCATCCATATTATTTCAGCAACAATGCATTTTAACCAACTCCTCCATGGAATAGAAAGGTTATTGGGCCTACGAAGCCAATGCGATTTACACCCGCGCCGCCGACATGCGCAACGCGTTGTTCGGGCGCTCCGAAGACCATGTCGTGCTCGTCACGCACGGCGCCATCGCGCACTTCCTCACCGAGGACTGGGAGGTCGAAGACCCCATGCTGGGCACCAACTGGTCTAATTGCGAAGTGCGCGAGTTTGTGTTTAGCGAGACGTCGAAGGAAGGAGACGCGCATCTTGTGGAGGTGGAGGAAAGTCGGAAGCGGAGACCGCCCTACGCCGGGTTGAAGTGGGAGGCGCCGTGGACGCTGTCGGGTGATAAAGACGCGCATGTTGTGGAAGAGGTGGAGAAGGTGGAGCAGGAGGGGTCGTGAGAAGACGTACGGGATAGGGAAGTCGGGATAGTGGTCGGGATAGATACGTGATAGAGACATAGGATATAATAGATTTATCAGTTCTTCGGAACGAAGAGTGAGCGCCTCCCCCTCTTGTCCTTTACTCCTTCTTTTCTGTTCCTCTACCTTTGACTGCCAAAGGGTTGCGCTCGAGGACAAGGTGCATCATGGCACCACTCTGGACCACAGCAACAGTGCAGGTGTAAACCCCAGCCAGTTCCGTAACAAACGGCGAGAAATCACCCTGAGTTGCGAAAATGGTCGGCATGCCACACAACGTCCATGCGCCAAATAGCACGTCGGAACCAGCGGCAGTATAAAAACGCTCTTCCAGCCTTCGAACCATGCGCGGTACCGGTAAGCAAGCGAGACCTGAGAAAGAGCGAGGAAACATTCGCAGGATCCCATCACAAAGGGAACAGGTTGAGCACCAGTGGTTGATGGCCAAAGTACATGTAAATACCGCCATAGCCCAGCAGGACGTCTTCCAGCACGATATCGGTAAGGACAGCAAGGCCTAGGTAGATCCAGAGTGCGCCAGTGCTAGTTCGACATAATAAAGCAGCGTAGAGCACTGCACCGACACCGGAGGAAAACGACCACCAGATGATGGCGACGTAGTAGTCGAACTCGCGGCCCATGAGTATGAAGAGGATTTACTTCGGACCGTGCGACTGCATCCAGTACATGCCGCCGATGTAGTTGTTGACGGCCTCGGGACGACGCAGAAGCACCGCTGATGACGAGTGCGGTGGGGATAGTAGTCTTGGAACGCTTGCTGTCGGGGATGGCGAGAGCGAGGATAGAGAAACAGATGGGGAGCAGGACCGTCATGACGATTAGAACGTGGTTGGCGTCTTGGGCGAAAGCATCGCCTGGCGGAGCTGGGGTGCAGAAGGTCTCATGGAGCAGAACTTTTTGTTGCGGATGATTGTGCTGTTGCTATGTGAGGCATTAGGATGCCTATGAGTATGGTAGTCGTGCTGGAAAACATGATGGTCTAAAACAGGTTACACGGAAAAAGCTGAAGAGGGCCAAGCGAGGAATGAGAGCAGAAAGGATTGTCTGTAGACGCATTGAGTGCTTTTTATACTATCTAACTGTGGACCACCGGAGACGGTGAAAACATCAACATCAAATTCAACTGCGCACCGCTGGAAAAGGTGAAAATAAATTGACCGCGTACCGTCGGAGACAGCGAAAATGATTACTATGGTTCCGATACACTTCG